GAGCCCAGGCCTACTGATGGTATCATAGGCCTTGACCAGGTCAATAAAGCAGAGATGCAGGTCTTGCTGGAATTCCCTACAACTCTGCTGTAGCAGACGGACAGAAAATATGGCATCTGTGCAGGACTGCCCTTTCCTGAAACCGCATTGGGGCTCCGCAAGCCTCTCCTCAGCGTGCCTGGCAAGGCGATGTGTTGAATAATCCTTGCCAGGACCTTTCCTGGCACACTGAGGAGTGAGATGCCCCTGTAGTTGTTACAGTCTGTGTGGTCTCCCTTCTTAAAGAGGGGGACCACTAGGGCATCATTCCAATCCTGCGGAACCCGTCCAGTGGTCCAGACTGTTGTTATGATGTCATATAGGGCAGTCTGTGCACAAACGCCACCCTCAGCATTTCGCTTGGGAGATCATCTCTGCCTGCTGCCTTTCCTGGTCTCAGACTCCGGATCGCCTTCAGTACTTCCTCAACAGATGGCACCTCAGCCAGCCACTCACAGGGGGTGACTTCCTGCAATATTTGAGGCACCGCAGCCTCAGCAGGGTCATCCCCACTTTGTGCCACGATGTTTTCCTGGCTGAGGGATTTTCCCTCCCCCAGGACCTCACAGAAATGCTCAGCAAATCTGCAAACCTGTTCCTGGCGGTCGGAGATTGGATCACCGTTTTTTCCCCTAATGACGGTAATAGGTGTGGTGCTGCAGGTTACTTTTTTGATGGAGTTAAATAGATTTGTGATCGCGGGCCAGTGAGGCAGACTCCATCTCCTCAGAAACCCGCGACCACCACCCATCCTTGCAGCGTCTCACGGGTCTCCGAACCTCTGAGCAAAGGCTGCGGTAAGCCTCCTCATTCTCTGATGTGGGATTCTGTAGCCGATGACAGTGGGCCTGTCGCTTTTTCCCAACTATCCTGAACACCTCCTCTGTCAGCCAGGGTCTCTGAGGTCTGGACCGCATACCCAAAGCGGCCATTGCAGCTGCATGAGTCACAGTCCTAAACCTCGCCCATTTACCCTCGACATCAGGAGGAGTGGGGGACGATGCCAACCCCACAAGCGATGATGAAATTCTCGCTTGCAACTTTCATCAGATAACTGAGACCAGGCCACTTTAGGTTGGAATGGGGTCCTGGGTGTACACCCACCACCGGAGTGGAAGAATGGCAGGCGCATCTTACAGATGACAAGTCGATGGTCAGAGGGCAGATCAGCTCCACGGTAGGTCCTGGTGTCAAGGACATGGGCTCGCATCTGCTGATCCGTCACTATGTAGTCCAGCAGATGTTCTTGCTTGGACCTGGCATGCATCCATGATGTTGTGTGGATGCGCCGATGCCGGAACACACACAACCACACACACACACAACCACACAAGTACACACATACACAACCACACACACACAGACAACCACACAAGTACACACACAGACACAACCACACAAGTACACACACACAACCACACAAGTAAACACAACCACACACACACAACCACACAAGTACACACACAAACACAACCACACAAGCACACACACAGACACAACCACACAAGTACACACACAGACAACCACACAAGTACACACACAGACACAACCACACAAGTACACACACAGACAACCACACAAGTACACACACAGACACAACCACACAAGTACACACACACACAACAACCACACACATAGACAACCACACAAGTACACACGCAGACACAACTACACAACTTCTTTGGTTCTTTCGGTAAAGTCACGTAGAATGAGAATAAAATAATAAATTGATAAAATAAAATAACACAATAATATTCTCACGACGTTTCGGCCACAACACAAGTGGCCTTCATCAGGTGAAGGGAGCGAGACTGTCTGGTAGGACAGCGCTGGAGTGAGAGAGCCACGTTCAGATCACGGCTTTTAAGCTGTGTGAGAGGAACAAAGAGCCTTGACGAAGGAATTAGCATAAAATTTAGCATTGAAATGGCTGAATGATTAGCTTGTGACTGGTCACAGAAATAGCTATGTTAAAAGTTAAAGCATACACATCCGCAGAGGCACCCAATGGGTGCCTCTGCGGATGCCTCTGCGGATGTGTATGCTTTAACTTTTAACATAGCTATTTCTGTGACCAGTCACAAGCTAATCATTCAGCCATTTCAATGCTAAATTTTATGCTAATTCCTTCGTCAAGGCTCTTTGTTCCTCTCACACAGCTTAAAAGCCGTGATCTGAACGTGGCTCTCTCACTCCAGCGCTGTCCTACCAGACAGTCTCGCTCCCTTCACCTGATGAAGGCCGCTTGTGTTGTGGCCGAAACGTCGTGAGAATATTATTGTGTTATTTTATTTTATCAATTTATTATTTTATTCTCATTCTACGTGACTTTACCGAAAGAACCAAAGAAGATGAATCATTGCAGTCACGAAAGCTTTAAATCGAAATACAACTACACAAGTACACACACACAACCACACAAGTAAATACAACCACACACACACAACCACACAAGTACACACACAGACACAACCACACAAGTACACACACGCAAGTACACACACACAACAACCACACACAGACAACCACACAAGTACACACACACAACCACACAAGTACACACACACAATCACACAAGTACACACACACAACCACACAAGTACACACACACAATCACACAAGTACACACACACACAATCACACAAGTACACACACAACCACACAAGTACACACACACAACCACACACATGATTATACAGTACATGTTATTATACAGTACATGTACACTACAGTCGTTATTATACAGTCGTTATTATACAGTACACATACAATACAATCGTTATTATACAGTCGTTGTTATACAGTACACGTACAGTCGTTATTATACAGCCCATGTACAGTACAGCCGTTATTATACAGCACATGTACAGTATAGTCGTTATTATACAGTATGTGTACAGTACAGTCGTTATTATACAGTCCATGTACAGTACAGTCGTTATTACAGAGTCGTTACTATACAGTCGTTATTATACAGTCGTGATAGAGTCGTTATTACAGTCGTTATTATACAGTCGTTATTACAGAGTCGTTAACGCTTCGAATAAAACCGTTGTACACACGCAGCACCCACACCACCACCACTAGACACACCACCACCACACACCCCACCACCACACACACCACTACACACACACCACCACTACACACACACCACCACTACACACCACCACTAGACACACCACCACCACACACACTACCACACACACCACCACCACTACACACACACCACCATACACCATCACTACACACACACCACCACCACACACACCACCACCACACAAACCACCACACACACCACCACCACACACACACCACTACACACACCACCACACACACACCACCACCACTACACACACACACCACCACTACACACACACCACCACTACACACACACCACCCACCAACCAACCTACTCCCTCACCGACCCACCCACCTACCTACCCACTCACCTACCTACCAATCGACTCACTCACCCACCCACCTACCCACTCACCCACCCACTCACCTACCCACCACCACCACTACACACACACCACCATACACCATCACTACACACACACCACCACCACACACACCACCACCACACAAACCACCACACACACCACCACCACACACACACCACTACACACACCACCACACACACACCACCACCACTACACACACACACCACCACTACACACACACCACCACTACACACACACCACCCACCAACCAACCTACTCCCTCACCGACCCACCCACCTACCTACCCACTCACCTACCTACCAATCGACTCACTCACCCACCCACCTACCCACTCACCCACCCACTCACCTACCCACCTAACCACTCACTCACCTACAAACTTACCCACTCACCCACCCACCTACCCACTCACCCACCCACCTACTCACTCACCCACTCACCTACCCACCCACCCACTCACCTACCCACCCACCTACCCACTCACCTACCCACTCATCCACCCACTCACCTACCCACCTAACCACTCACTCACCTACAAACTTACCCACTCACCCACCCACCTACCCACTCACCCACCCACCTACTCACTCACCCACCCACTCACCTACCCACCCACCTACCCACTCACCTACCCACTCATCCACCCACCTACCCATCCACCCACTCACTCACCCACCTACCCACCTACCCACAGAGTCGTTATTACAGAGTCGTTATTATACAGTCGTTATCATACAGTCGTTATTAGAGTCGTTATTACAGAGTCGTTAACGCTTCGAATAAAACCGTTGTACACACGCAGCACCCACACACACCACCACCACTACACACCACTACACACACCACCATACACCACCACTAGACACACCACCACCATACACACCACCACACACACCACCACACACACCACCACACACACCACCACACACACCACCACACACACACACCACTACACACACACCACCACACACCACTACCACACACACCACCACCACACACACCACCACCACACACACCACCACCACACACCACCACCACTACACACACACCACCACACACACCACCACTACACACACACCACCACTCAACCTACTCACCCACCTACCCACCCACTCATCCACCGACCCACTCACCTACCTACCAACCGACTCACTCACCCACCTACCCACTCACCCACCCACTCACCTACCCATCCACCCACCCACCTATCCACCTAACCACTCACTCACCTACACACCTACCCACTCACCCACCCACTCACCCACCCACCCACCCACTCACCCACCCACCCACCTACCCACCCACTCACTCACCCACCTACCCACCCACTCACTCACCCACCTACCCACCCACTCACTCACCCATCCACTACCCACTCACCTACCCACTCACCCACCCACCTACCCACCCACCAACCCACTCACCCACTCACCCACCCACCCACCTACCCACTCACCCACCCACCTACCCACTCACCCACCCACCCATCCCCGCAGAGTCGCTGCCATGTCCAGCGAGCAGCAGGCGGTGGTGATGGACAACGGCTCTGGCCTCTGCAAAGTCGGCCTCTCCGGGGAGTGTTCCCCCCGCTGCGTCGTCCCCTCCGTGGTGGGGTGGCCCCTGCCGCGCCAGCGAATGGTGGAGCCGCGCTCCTGCTCGTCCAGCACCTCGTCCAGCACCTCGTCACGCTTCTACGTGGGCGACGAGGTGCAGGACAAGAGGGGTGTCCTGTCCGTGCGCTACCCCATCCAGCACGGCGTCATCACCTCGTGGGACGACATGAGCAAGGTGCCACGTCGTTCGTTTCAGTCGTTCGCGAATTGTTATTCGTTCACCCAGTCATCGATTCACTTGGCAATTGAGTTCACTTGATACGGAATTCACCCATCCATTCACTCGTTCATTTAGTCATTCGCTTAGTCGTCCATGCACTTAGTCATTGACTTAGTGACTAAATAACTGGTGCACTAATTCATTCCCGTAGGCATTCATTCACTCAGTCGTTCACTTAATAGTTAATTCACGTATTCGTTCACGTGGGTATTAATTCAGTGAGTCATTGATTCGCTTCGTGACTTTATCCATTCGCTTCGTCGTTCATTCACTCATTCACTTAGGCTCAAGGGGCAGCTCAGCGCCACGCCCGGCCGCCTTTCTCTCCCGAGCGGCGATGTTTACCACACGCCGCACCAGGTGCTCACTTGAGGCTGAGTCGACCTAGGGGAGGCCCTGGTCCTGATAGTCGTCACTGGTTCTGGCCGTGAGCGGGAATCGAACCAGGATCGCCGGGTCCGCAGCGCAGCACGCTAACCGCTGCACCACCGCTCCTGCCCGCAGTCTGCAGCAGCAGCAGCAGCGATCATCGTCCGCCCCGGCTGCCAGCAGACAGCTGCCACTGGGGGTGCCCCCAGGCGAGACCACAGCCTGATGCCCCAGGTCACTTGCCAATGAGACTCCGGTCCTGGCCTTTCACTTCCCACCGGGTTAAACCAAAACGCCGCCTGTTGTTCTCCTACGACGCGGTGGCGGTGGTGGTGGTCGCGTTCATAAAGGGAACACCGCCTGATGGAGAAATCGCGTTCTCATCAATCAAACATACAATTGTAGGTTGAAGACGCAGGGTCTGAGAGGACGCAGCCGTCACAGCCGCTGATTCCCACTCGCGACGTCGTCGATCACGCGGTCGCAGGTGAAGTTGGCAAATCGGCGCCGTGAGAACGCCTCGGGAGCTGCCTCGCGAGAACGGCGGCGCTCACGCCGCCGTCCTCCGTCGGTAGCCGGCGTCGTCCCTCACGGTCGCCGGCGTCGTCCCTCACGGTCGCCGGCGTCGTCCCTCACGGTCGCCGGCGTCGTCCCTCACGGTCGCCGGCGTCGTCCTCCGTCGGTAGCCGGCGTCGTCCTCGCCGTAGCCGGCGTCGTCCCTCGCCATAGCCGGCGTCGCCCTCCGTCGGTAGCCGGCGTCGTCCCTCGCGGTAGCCGGCGTCGCCCTCCGTCGGTAGCCGGCGTCGCCCCTCACGGTCGCCGGCGTCGCCCTCCGTCGGTAGCCGGCGTTGCCCCTCGCCGTAGCCGGCGTCGTCCTCGCCGTAGCCGGCGTCGTCCCTCGCCATAGCCGGCGTCGCCCTCCGTCGGTAGCCGGCGTCGTCCCTCGCGGTAGCCGGCGTCGCCCTCCGTCGGTAGCCGGCATCACCCCTCACGGTCTCCGGCGTCGCCCCTCCCGCCAAGGTGTGGAGCCACGCGTACAAGCGCCTGCGGGTGAGGCCCCACGAGCGGCCCCTGCTCATGACGGAGCCACCGCTGAACCCGACGCGCAATCGCCAGCTCATGGCGGAGACGGCCTTCGAGGGCCTCGGGGTGCCCGCGCTGCACGTGGCGAGCCAGGGCCTGCTGGCGCTGTACGCCCGCGGCGAGACCACGGGCCTCGTGGTGGACTGCGGCGACGGCGTCACCCACTCGGTGCCCGTGTTCGACGGCTTCGTCCTCTCGCACGCCGTCATGAGGCTCGACCTGGCCGGCAGGGACGTCACGGACCACCTGGCACGCACGCTCCGCGACGGTGAGCCCGGGGTGGGGGAGATGAGGGTCAGGGTGGTGAGCAAGTTGATGCGTGGGTGTGTGGGTGGATTGATGGGTGAGTGTGTGGGTGTATTGATGGGTGAGTGAGTGGGTGGATTGATGGGTGAGTGTGTGGGTGGATTGATGGGTGAGTGTGTGGGTGGATTGATGGGTGAGTGTGTGCGTGGATTGATGGGTGAGTGTGTGGGTGGATTGATGGGTGAGTGTGTGGGTGGATTGATGGGTGAGTGTGTGCGTGGATTGATGGGTGAGTGTGTGGGTGGATTGATGGGTGAGTGTGTGGGTGGATTGATGGGTGAGTGTGTGGGTGGATTGATGGGTGGGTGTGTGAGTGGATTGATGGGTGAGTGTGTGGGTGGATTGATGGGTGGGTGTGTGGGTGGATTGATGGGTGTGTGAGTGGATTGATGGGTGAGTGTGTGGGTGGATTGATGGGTGGGTGTGTGGGTGGATTGATGGGTGAGTGAGTGGATTGATGGGTGAGTGTGTGGGTGGATTGATGGGTGTGTGGGTGGATTGATGGGTGGGTGTGTGGGTGGATTGATGGGTGAGTGTGTGGGTGGATTGATGGGTGAGTGTGTGCATGGATTGATGAGTGAGTGTGTGGGTGGATTGATGGGTGTGTGGGTGGATTGATGGGTGAGTGTGTGTGTGGGTTGATGGGTGAGTGTGTGGGTGGATTGATGGGTGAGTGTGTGGGTGGATTGATGGGTGAGTGTGTGGGTGGATTGATGGGTGAGTGTGTGGGTGGATTGATGGGTGAGTGTGTGGGTGGATTGATGGGTGGGTGTGTGGGTGGATTGATGGGTGAGTGAGTGGATTGATGGGGGTGAGTGTGTGGGTGGATTGATGGGTGAGTGTGTGGGTGGATTGATGGGTGGGTGTGTGGGTGGATTGATGGGTGAGTGTGTGGGTGGATTGATGGGTGAGTGTGTGCGTGGATTGATGAGTGAGTGTGTGGGTGGATTGATGGGTGTGTGGGTGGATTGATGGGTGAGTGTGTGGGTGGATTGATGGGTGAGTGTGTGGGTGGATTGATGGGTGAGTGTGTGGGTGGATTGATGGGTGAGTGTGTGGGTGGATTGATGGGTGAGTATGTGGGTGGATTGATGGGTGAGTGAGTGCGTGCTTGTTGGGATGTGTGGCTGAGACGAGCAAACCCTGACACATCGTCTCTCCGCGTTGGCGCTGGGGCACAGGCGGCCACGTGTTCATGAGCACGGCGGAGAAGGAGATCGTGCGCGACATGAAGGAGCGCCTCTGCTACGTGGCGCTCGACTGCGCCAGCGAGGCGGCTCGCCCGCGCTGCGACATCGAGGCGCGCTACCGGCTGCCCGACGGCGCCGTCGTCAGCGTCCGCGAGCAGCGATTCCGCGCCCCCGAGGCGCTGTTCCGCCCGGACGCGCTGGGCCTGGAGGCGCTGGGGCTGCACCAGCTCGCCTGGGCCAGCGTCATGCGCTCCGAGATCGACCTACGACGCCACCTCTACGGCAACGTCGTGCTCTCAGGGGGCACGACCATGCTGCCCGGTGAGGGCGCGCCCACGGCTGTGTGTGTGTGTGCACACCTGTGTGTGTGCAGTTGTGTGTGTGCAACTGTGTGTGTGCACCTGTGTGTGTGTACAACTGTGTGTGTGTGTGCACCTGTGTGTGTGTACACCTGTGTGTGTGTGCACCTGTGTGTGTGAGCAACTGTGTGTGTGTGTGCACACCTGTGTGTGTGCAACTGTGTGTGTGCACCTGTGTGTGTGTACAACTGTGTGTGTGTGCACCTGTGTGTGTGTACACCTGTGTGTGTGTGTGTGCACCTGTGTGTGTGTGCACCTGTGTGTGTGTGCACCTGTGTGTGTGCACCTGTGTGTGTGTACACCTGTGTGTGTGTGTGTACACCTGTGTGTGCACCTATGTGTGTGCACCTGTGTGTGTACAACTGTGTGTGTGCAACTGTGTGTGTGTACAACTGTGTGTGTGTGTACAACTGTGTGTGTGTACACCTGTGTGTGTGCACCTGTGTGTGTGCACCTGTGTGTGTGTGTGCAACTGTGTGTGTGTGTGTGTGCAGCTGTGTGTGTGTACCACTGTGTGTGTACAACTGTGTGTGTGCACCTGTGTGTGTGTGTACAACTGTGTGTGTGTACACCTGTGTGTGTGTGTGTGCAACTGTGTGTGTGTACAACTGTGTGTGTGCACCTGTGTGTGTACAACTGTGTGTGTACAACTGTGTGTGTGTGTACACCTGTGTGTGTGTGTGTACAACTGTGCGTGTACAACTGTGTGTGTGCACCTGTGTGTGCACCTGTGTGTGTGCACCTGTGTGTGTGTGCAACTGTGTGTGTGTACACCTGTGTGTGTGTGTGCAACGGTGTGTGTGCAACTGTGTGTGTGTACACCTGTGTGTGTGTGTGTGCAACTGTGTGTGTGTGCAACTGTGTGTGTGTGTACACCTGTGTGTGTGAGCAACTGTGTGTGTGTGCACCTGTGTGTGTGTGCGTGTGTGTGAGCACCTGTATGTGTGTGCAACTGTGTGTGTGCAACTGTGTGTGTGAACACCTGTGTGTGTGAGCACCTGTATGTGTGTGCAACTGTGTGTGTGTATACCTAGGTGGGGAGCGATAGTGTAGCGGTTAGCGCGCTGCGCTATGAACCCGGCGACACGGGTTCGATTCCCGCTCACGGCCGACACCAGTGACGATTATCTTAACCGGTCCCGGGCCTCCCCTAGGTCGACTCAGCCGCAAATGAGTACCTGGTGCAGTGTGTAAACATCGCTACTAGGGAGACAAAGGCGGTCGGGCGTGGTGCTGGCCACCCACCCTCTCGTGTACCGTTCCGGCCTTCATAGGTGCTTGCTATCAGCACTTTCCCCTACAGTCTGTTAAGGCTATATGGGGGATCTTTGTTATCTTTGTGTATACCTATGTAGGGGGAGCGGTCGTGTGGTGTTTAGCGCTACGCTGCGCTACGAACCCGGCGAGCCGAGTGTGATTCCCACTCACGGCCAACACGAGTGACGATTTGAACCGGTCCTGGGCCTCCGCTAGGTCGACGCAGCCTCAAATGAGTACCTGGTGCAGTGTGTAAGCATCGCCACTAGGGAGAGAAAGGTGGTCGGGCGTGGTGCTGGCCACCCACCCCCTCATGTGCCATGCCAGCCTTCGTAGGTGCTTGCTAACAGCACTTGCTCCAACAGTCTGTTATCCGGGGGATCTTTGTCTTTGTACACCTGTGTGTGTGTGTACAACTGTGTGTGTGTACAACTGTGTGTGTGTGTACCGGAGGAATTTCCATTTGGTACAGATATAATGGGAGGCTGATCGATGCCCGGGTGGGTCAAGGGATGGCTCCCTATTTCTCAACCATGTTATGTTTGCCGATGATCTGGTATTTGCTGCTCACTCAGAGGAGGAGTTGGAAGCGCTGCTGCTGAATCTGGAGCTTGCCACCAAGAGGGGCCTTACCATCAGCCCCACCAAAACTAATCACCTGCCTGGGTATTTTGTACCATCGGACACTCCACCCCCACAACTCCCAATTGGTGATAGGGCAGTTGTGAAGAGAGTGGAGAGTTTCCCATACCTTGGCAGTGTGCTCATGACCGGCTCCGGTTTAGCAGCAGAGGTCTCACTCCGAATCATACGAGCGGCATTATCTTTTCATCGGTTGCGTAATGCTGTGTGGAAGCTACCTGGTCTATCAATCCGCACGAAGCTTCAGGTCTTCTCGGCCACGGTCATTCCCTCCCTTCTGTACTCTTGCGAAACGTGGACCCCCGTAATGGAACATCTTCACCGGTTAGAAACATTTAAGCTGGCCTGCCTACGATCCATCCTGGGTTTAACCAGGCTGGATTGTGTGAGGAGCTCACAAATCCTTGAAACATGTGGACAAAGTCCCATCGGTGAGCTCCTCCGGCAGGCAAGGCTGCCTTGGCTGGGTCATGTAGCTCGCATGCCCAGCCACCGCATGCCTAAACAGATTTTGTTCGGCCGGATCGAGGGGGCTAAACGGGCATGGCACGGGCTAGAGAAGAGATGGAGTGATGTGGTACAGGAGGACGTGGAGCTGAGTGGACTTGCCGATAACCGGTACCAGCGGTGTCAAGATCGGCCTCTGTGGAGGAGGCTTGTGAAGGACGCTACTGGGCAGTTGGAGGCAGTCGTCCTCCAACAACAACGGTGGGCGTAGGAGCGACGCTCACAACAACGAGCAGAGCGCCGGGTGGCTAAAGCACAGCAGGTTGGCACAGTAGGGGGCACAGGTGGTGCATCAGCCAGTCATCTCAGTCATCTCAGTCAGTCGACCCATGGCACCTGGGTCTGCCCCGTGACCTCCTGCCAGCGGGCGTTCGACACTTCACGTGGCCTCAATGTGCACATAGCCTGGCACAAGCGTCGTGGTGACGTCACCGCCACTTAGTGGCGAATGGCGGTTGTTGTTGTTGTGTGTGTACACCTCATCCCCTCACCACCCCTGTGTCCCTAGGTCTGGACGAGCGTCTCTCATGGGAGCTGTCCCGCCTGGCGCCGCCGGGCGCCGTCATCAAGACGATGTCCTCCCCCGAGCGCCGCTTCGCCGTCTGGATCGGCGGCTCCATCCTGGCCGGCCTCTCCGCCTTCTCGACGACGCGGTGGCTGTCGGCCGCCGAGTACCGCGAGGCCGGGCCCTCCGCCCTGCTGCGCTACTGCAGCTGAGCGCTGGTCGGGGGGGGGAGGGGGGCAGTGGGGGGAGACGGCGGGTGGGAGGGGAGGGGAGCAGGCACTCGACCCGACCCAATTGACCTGACTTGACCTGGCCCGGTTTCACTCACACAACCCAAATTGATTTTCATCAACGGGACCTGACCCACTTACCTGACCCGCTAACCCAACACACTCACCCACCCAGACCCACTAGCCCTGACCCAGACCCACCCACCCAGACCCGCTAACCCAACCCACTCACCCACACAGACCCACTCACCCACCCAGACCCACTAGTCCTGACCCACTCACCCTGACCCACTCACCCTGACCCACTCACCCACACAGACCCACTAGCCCTGACCCACTCACCCACCCAGACCCACTAACCCAACCCACTCACCCAGACCCACTAACCCAACCCACTCACCCACCCAGACCCACTAGCCCTGACCCACTCACCCACCCAGACCCACTAGCCCTGACCCAGACCCACCCACACAGACCCACTAGCCCTGACCCACTCACCCACCCAGACACTCTAGCCCTGACCCACTCACCCTGACCCACTCACCCACCCAGACCCACTAGCCCTGACCCACTCACCCACACAGACCCACTAGCCCTGACCTAGACCCACCCACTCAGACCCACTAGCCCTGACCCACTCACCCAGACCCACTAGCCCTGACCCACTCACCCACCCAGACCCACTCACCCTGACCCACTCACCCACCCAGACCCACTAGCCCTGACTCACTCACCCACCCAGACCCACTAGCCCTGACCCACTCACCCTGACCCACTCACCCACCCAGACCCACACAGACCCACTCACCCACCCAGACCCACTCACCCTGACCCACACAGACCCACTCACCGACCCAGACCCACTAGCCCTGACCCACTCACCCACCCAGACCCACACAGACCCACTCACCCACCCAGACCCACTCACCCTGACCCACTCACCCACCCAGACCCACTCACCCTGATCCACTCACCCACCCAGACCCGCTAGCCCTGACCAGGCCGGACCTGGCCAGTCCACTCGTACAATCCGACCCCGCCCACGCCTCTCCTGACGCTATTTTACTTGTTTGCGCGTTTGTTTGTTTGTTAGTTGACGCGCCCAAGCACCTCGCTTGGCGGTGGACAGCCGTCGTGTTGTAATCTGGCAGAGCATTTGTAATAAAGCTGGGTTACACCGATCAGGACAGATTAAGCTGCTGCACTTTCATTAAAAGTTAATGCGTGTGGTAAGGAAGCCAGGCGTGCCGGCCATCATGAACCGGCTTGGAGGTGTGGGCACGTGGGCTGCGGCGATGCCAAGTTCGAGTTGGCGTTGTGTGTGTGTCTGCGTGTGTTGAACTTATTTTGTGCCACCGTACGTAGCCGTGTGGGGAGAGGTATTGTAGCGGTTAGCGCACTGCGCTTAGAATCCGACCACCCGAGTTTGATTCCCACTCACGGCCAACACCTGTGACGATTATCAGAACCGGTCCTGGGCCTACCCTAGGTCGACTCAGCCTCAAATGACTACCTGATACGGTGCGTAAACATCGCCACGAGGGAGACAAAGGCGGCCGGGCATGGTTGCTGGCCAGCCACCCCCTCGTGTGCCTTGCCAGCGTTCATAGGTTCTCGCTAACAGTGCTTGCCCCAATAGTCTGTGAAGGCTATATGGGGTATCTTTGTGTTTTTTTTTTACTTCTTTAGCACCACCGTACTTAGCCAACTGTGCTAATCGGAGATGCTGGGAAAGGACAACAAGCTAAACGCGACAACAAGCAGTTTTAAATAAATTAGTTGGTTAATATAGATTATTTAAAAGTGCATCACAGCTCCAGTGGCTTCCTAACATCGGAAAGGAAGAGCGTTCCAGACGGCCGCAGAAGCGCGTCTGAAAGCGCCGGACGATGCGGCGGCCGTCTTTGTTTGATGGCCGAGCCCAAAGCCGCCACCGCCACTGCCGCAAGGATGACCGGAGTTTTCGTGATGATGGTTTCAGCTCCTTGATGTGATCAGCAGCGAGGTATTGTGGTTGATTTGTGTCTTTATCACAACGTATTCGTTTGGCAACCAGAGAGTTACATAGCATATAGGAGCAACGTCAATCGAGGACTTCCTGTGCACGCATATACTACCCGAGACGTTACACTATGGTATGCACTATACACTCTGCCATACACTACATTATATACTACACTACACACTGTGTGTAACAAGTACATTATATACAACACTACATTATATACTACACTACACACTATGTGTGTAACAAGTACATTATATACTACACTACATTATATACTACACTACAAACTATGCGTGTAACAAGTACATTATATACTACACTACATTATATACTACACTACACACTATGTGTGTAACAAGTACAATATATACTACACTACATTATATACTACACTACACACTATGTGTGTAACAAGTACATTATATACTACACTACATTATATGCTACACTACACACTATGTGTGTAACAAGTACATTATATACTACACTGCATTATATGCTACACTACACACTATGTGTGTAACAAGTGCGACCTCATCACGGATTGGTTTGCCAACCGGAAGGCCACACAGCTTGGCGAGCATCGGACGGACGGACCGGGGGTGACATCTCGGGAGGATCAAGATGAGGACTCCATCTGCAAGAGTGACCCCCAGGGGTCACCCCCAGGGGTCACCCCCAGGGGTCGAGAAGACGTTCACAAGTTTACTTCCCACGGTAAAGCCTAGCGGTTAACTGCGAATAACCCAACCAAGAATAGATGTCCATCATAATTTATATGAATATACATGAGCCCTCCCCCTCGTCAGATCTTCGCACCTGATTGGCTCACAAGTGAACACATTTATCCCTCCGTCGACTTAAGACTGAAACAGGAGGAGGATTTCTCCACAACGCTGTGGCTGTCACCTGATGAGGCTGCTTTTAATGACTGGAGAAACGTTACCGGCTGCTCGAATTGTAAACGTGCGTGTGGTGGCTTCAACTCTCTCCCAACACAACAACCAGTTTCGTGCTGAACCAGTAACCACAATGCACATGCATAGCACATGAACGTTCTGTATGTCGATTAGCCGTGAATAACCCAACCAGTAATAGGATGTCCATTGTCATTTTCCATGAGCGCATTCCCCAGCTGATTGGCTCACAAGTGACGACGTCACATCTGTCCCACGCTCTATTTAAGACCGAAACGGGAGGGAGGATTTCTCAACAACTCTGTGTCTGTAGCCTGATGATGCTGCTGCTGCTGCTGGTTGTAATTGATGGTGAAACGACACGGTTACGTTCACTATCCAACACACACCGGTGAATGCTGAACTAGTACTACTGATAATAATTTACACTTCTAAACGGCGTTTCATCCAGAGGTTGCAAGGCGCTGCACATAGCTGAAGTCGCTAAATAACTCGCGCTATTCTAAAACAATATAAGCATAGACTCATGATTTGACCACAGCTACAATTTCCCCCACACACACTCACAAACACACGCAGCCAAATTAATCTGGAGAAAAGGCTTTTAAGAAAAAAATATCTGAAGGCGGGGATTTTACTAAACCGAGGGACTCGGCCAATCGAATATTTGATGGAAGTGAATTCCACAGCTTGGTAACGAATTGTCCACGTTTTCTTGCACAGAACTTCAACATATCAAAATCAATTGAGGGTCCTTATTGGCATGCGTGTTCTGCAACCGCCGACAGTTTACTTGACGAACCCTACTAATTGGCTGTGTCGGGTGGTAGTGGCGGTTTTAACGACGACGCATATGTACGCGATATAGCCCCAAATAATAAAAACAAACTTCATTCGGTCGATCCACGCGAGAGCGACCCGGCTCCAGTCCGCTAAGCCCTGGGCCGGGTCTCGTCACCACCGGATCTCCAGTGCCGCCGCCAGTCACACGGGGCGACCGTCCCGTCGATCATCACAAACCCATCGATCGTGGATTAAAGGCCAATGAGCGAAGACGATCTTTTATTTTGTCTTGCCCAAGGAGAGAGGCTCGATCGAGAGACGCCTATCAAAGCATTCGCACGCGATGCAGAAGCCAATGAAGGCGACATCAATCAGCACACAAGCAAAGGCACCCCCCCAATCGCGTGAGAGAGAGACAAAGGATACAAAACAAAAAGATTGAAAATTCGAATCACGTGGTGAGTTGGGTCAGGACACGTAGCCGGTTCAGCACGCGGCTCACCGGCCCGTCATGAGTGGATGCTTGAGTGGCGCCTCTCCCTCGCGTCTGGCACGGGGCTCGGGGTTGTCCCTCTCCGCGTTCCTTCAACCCCCACACGCCCGGAGAAGCCAAACTCCCAGCGGGATCGATGGGGCCAGCGAGGTATCACAGGCGCAGTCCCTGCAAGTGCTCGAAGCGGCTCGCTCCACTGTTGCCGGATGAGGCCTCACCCCTGAGAGGGCCTGCACGCTGGGTCACTGTTGCTCTCTCTCTCTGCCTTGCTCTCGCTGATATTCACCCCACTTACGAAGATCTCCCCCGCCGGATGGCCTTGAACAGACTGTTGGGGCAAGTGTTGTCAGGGACCGTCCATAAATGACGTCACGCACCGAGGGGGGGTCAGACATTTGTGACGATGTGTGACGAGGGGGGGGGGGGGGGGTTTGAGAGATGTGACGTCACATCAAAATGCACAACTTTAAATAAATATAGAATTGTTATAACAACACTCCTACAACATCAGAGTGCAGCGCCACATTAAATACGCACTACAATGACAATAGTTTTAAGCGATTTGAAGCACGTTTTATTTTCAAAATGGAAATATGGTTATGGGTAGGGGGGGGGGGGGGCAGAGCTTTGTGACGTCATATTTGAGGGGGGGTCTGACTTTTTATGACGTCGTGTGACGAGGGGGGGTGGTTCAAAAATTGTCCAAAATCGCGTGACGTCATTTATGGACGGCCCCTTAGCGAGTAGCAGCAGCGCCTGTGAAGGCCGGCACGGCACACGA